TATGGCAAGGTCGACATTGATTCTAGATCGAGGGTTTCTTAGACAAACTTGCTTAGAATTTCAGGTAGAATACTCGTATTCCATACCCGCAGAGTGAAAAAAAAAATTACCCGCCCTAGTGTACATACATATGTACGTACATACGCATATCTTCTTTCAAAATGTTCCTACTACGTTTCATGCTTAAAAACTTTCTAAGCATTGTTTACCACTTGACTTATGTACATAACTCCGCCATTTAATTAAAAACATTTTACGATTTACAACTTTTTATTTCCAAATAAATCGAAACGCTCACATTTAAATGAACTACACTTTTTTCATAAATTTGTATATTAAATAAAACATTCATCTTTAAAATTTGTTGACATTAGTCGCTTGGTTTGCATTTTATGTGCCGTTGTTAGTTTTTGTTGCTTCTTTCTGTAAACTTTTTCTTTTAAAAAGTTTTTTTTTTTTTATCTAATTTTATTTTACTAAATAAGACATTTATACATTAAATTTGTTCAATAAGTAATACATACATTTAATAAACTATATTTTTTTTTTTGAATTTTTAACAATTAATGCTAAGGTTTGTTTTTAATTAAATTTACTTAAATTTTGTATTTTAAATTTTATCTATGTAAAAGTGGACAAAGATTTTTCTTAATTATTATTTTTTTTTTGTTTTTTGCTTTTAATTTTTACAATATGTTTTGGTGTTTTTTGTTGTTTCACTTAAATTTTTAATGTTAAGTTTTTTGTTTTCTTTTTTTTATGGTGAATTACTTGAATTCTGTACTTTAGTTTTGCGCTTCTCTAACTTTGTCAATATGTTGTTGTAAAAAAAATTATGTAAAAGCAAGCATCTAAGCAGGTTTCCTTTCGCATATCTAATTAAAAGCACTAAATTGTTTGGTTACGCAAAAAAATAAATAAATAAAATATATGTAAGAAAAATTTGCAATGCTAAAAATCTAGTCTTTACTAGCTCACTTGCCTTCGTTTATTAAAAAGGTTTTTTATTAATATTTTTTTTTTTTTAATAAAACATAGAAGAAACATTCATCATAAATACAAAAATTATTTGTGAAAAATAAATGCAAAAAAAGCCTTTTTTCAAATGAATAGAATTTATATATGTGCATGTATAAGTTAGTACAAAACCAGTAATGTTGATATGGTTTTATTGTATTAAAATAAATAATTGAAAACTACTCCCAAAAGATACTTAAATATTTTTGGAAGAAAAAAAGTAAAGCGTATTTGATAAGTTCGTTTTCAAAAAGTATTGAAACATCAATACAAATTTTTAAGAATACTATTGCAAAATAAAAAGAAAGATTTTCATTATTGGAAATATTATCTTGATTGGCGGCCAACGTAAACGGAAAGAAAAATGTCCGTAAGGATCCCGGGTAAGGATGTCCCGGAGAATTTGCTTCTCCCGAGAAAGAAATCCTCCAATAATTAACTCTCAGGGAGTAGCATTTTCCCCGAAAATTTGTGAGGAGGAAATTCGAACTTTGAAAGAGCTGTTTGACACTTTTTTGACAGCTCAACTCCGCCATTTAAAATAAAAAGTCTTCAACGAATTTTTGGAAAGGGAAAAGAGAGAAAACTACCAGGGAGTTTCTGCTCAGAATCGGCCTAATAATTTAAAAATATCCTTATAAAAGGATAATTTAAAAATATCCTCATAAGAGGATAATAATATCTCCAAAAAGAGCAAAAATATTCTTATAAAGGGATAATAATAAAAAAATAGGATGTAATAAATAATACCGTTTTAAGTAATGAATATAAAAAGCTGTTAATATGCATTAGGGTGGTCCTTAAAAATATCAAAACCTAAATTCTTTATGAGGCACCTCCTTGTTTCATATGACATCCACGCAAATTTCAAAGGGTTATAGGATATGAAAAATTTAAAACTTTTTTGATCACAAAAATTTAACTTTGACCAGCTATAGCTCAGCCCGTTTTGGTGTGACAAAAACAAATGGTATGTCGTTAGCGGTGCACATTAATTCTTTCCAACGAAGTACTGATTCGTATTGATCGGACTTGTCAGTTAAGTCATGAATGGAATCATACCCCGAAACACACACAAAAATACCTTTATATCAAAACACTTCCGGAAGAAAAAACAAAAAAAAAAATGCGTTTTAAGCTCAGAAAGTTCATGCTAAGTCTCCCCTATACATATGTATGTACGTAAGTTTCTTGGTATTTTATCAAGATACATAATTATTTCTAATGCTGGTTATCAGATGCTAAATTTCCAAAACCCCTAAAAATTATTTTGCAATTTTTTAATTTTCGTGTACATATGTAGGTATATCTTTTTATTAAAAGTATGCCCCGTACAAAATTTAGATGTTGATATTTTAAGCATCACCCTAATGTGCATACATACATATGTATATGAGAGTAAATGAATTCGAGTAGAAGCCCAAGATGAGATTTAAAAAGTAAGTAAATAAATTTTCTTATATTTTAGCTAGAGAAGTTTTTAGTATATACTTAGTAGTCATTAGCATAAGTAGGTAATACAAGTATACATATGTACATACATATAAGCTGCAGGAACTGAAGGTTTAGTATTAGCATTAGAGGTACGAGTTAAAATTTTCCATGCAAATTGTGCTAAATTTTTTTAAGACTTTTTCTTTCTAAATGTGTATGTGTTAGTAAATACATGCATACATCCATAGCCGTGAATGTGTGGAGTTAATAATAAACTCATTCGTCAATTGGAAGTCGTTTCAGATTTCGTGAGAATCATGATGGCAAACGCAACACACGTTAAAGATTTGGCCAGAAGTCCATTTTATTAAAAGGGATATAAAAGATTCAAATAAAAATGTTTCTAAAAATTCTGAATAAAAATTTTAAAATTTTTGGGTGCAAATGTTAAATAAAGTTTGTTGAATTTTCATAATTTTTGTACGAAATTTGCCCGTTACGTGTCGCCGGGGTCGAGATATTTTGAAAACCCATATTTATGAATCGATTTCTTTCAAATATGAGACATGTATTAGATGCATAATAAATATAATGTGCCCACTAGATGGCGCTTTAGTCGAAATATTGATTGATATCTTTTGGTTTCCAATACACTCAGGTCTTTTTTTTATGCCGCACATGCGTTTTTCAGAAAGCAAAAGTTCTTTACTTTCATACAAAAACATGGGATGGGTTCCAGCATTTTCAAAAACCGCATAAATTAATACGTAAAAAATTCTAAAAAAAACGCATAAAAAAATCCAGTGAGGCAATATTAAGCAAAAGAACATTTAATTTCTTCACTTCAAAACTTATTGTTCCATGTAAACCTGGACATTATTTAAATAAATAAAATTTTATCTGTATTTTAACCAAAAACAAAAAAAAAACACAATAAATGCATGAATTATGTAAGAATACAAAGACAGACAATTTAACAGAAGCAATTCCAATGACTCAATTTTTGCCACCAAAAATACATAAAAATCCGATTTTTTCAACATAATTTTAATACATAGACCTTTTAATTGTGAAATTTTGTGCCAGTTTTCCTTGATATAAAGTAGTTCGGAAAAAAAAAATTTCTGAAGCGATCTGATTGATACATGCCGATACACAATTTAAATGCTTATATTAAAAAAGCAAAATTCCACTCATGATTCAAATCTAAAGGAGAGCAAATGACATGTATGGATGGCATCAAGGCGAATTTATATAAGGTGGTGTTGTTTAATCAGCTGTGTGTAGCGTTTGATTGTCAAAATTTTATATTTTGCTAGTGAGTGAGTGAAAACGTGAGAGTGTTTGCATTTTCTGTCGCCCTTTTTCATTCGGAGAAGAATAGCTGAAATTTGACAATCACCAGCTAAAAGCAAAAACAAAATACAGGTAATTGTTGTATTTGTTGAATCGATCGATACCACCTTATATGAATTCGCCTTGGATGGCATTTGAAAATTTTTAAATAAAATATGTTAAAATTTAAAATTTTTTTACAATGTGTAAAATGAAGAGTATACCCAAGAAAATAAGTCAGAAAATGAGACGGATACCACCGCCGATTGATAAAAACCCGAAAACGGGCGATTATCGTTCGTCAAAACGGTCTTGTTTGTACAGGCATATCATTCTTCAATACGATGTTTAAACAATCGGGGACCGGGGGATTTTCTTTTATATCGGAGATTCATGTGGACATTATCGTATCTGAACTTTTTTTTACTAACTTCCATTTTTAATTTTTGACTTTCGCATTCGTGGAACTTATTGCCTTAATATCACAAGTTTCCGCTAAACATTTCATTAAATCAGCCAAATGTTATAGGTATGTATATATAAAATTAAAGTGCGGGGTAAATGTTTACAGAACTACCTCGTCGGATTCGAGACATTTGTAAGCATAGTGGGATGCGCTTAAGCAATAATTACGCATTTTAAGATTTCATACGACTGATTCACTTCTAGATTTCGCAAAATTTGTTATTTAAAGAAATCTTCAAACAAAGCACGTTAAACTTATATACTGGCTTACGTCCGTGGGTTCACTTATTATGGGTTTCCTATGTCCCATGGCATCAGTGTAGAACAGTCCAATGAGATGCCATTTCACAGATCATGGACAAGTTAATTTTTGTGGTAACTGTAAGTGACTTTTTTCGATTTCGATAAAACCCAGGAGCGCTTATACAATACTTTGTTAAAAACAAGATTTTTAGGGTTTAGCAAGTGCAAATTTAGGGATTTAGAAATTTCTCAATGTCTCTCTAGATATGCATAACTAGGAAAAAAAAAACAAAACTTTAAAAATCAACGCGACATTTTTAACCGCTTAAAACTTGCACTAGAATGTCATTAGACACGTAACTGCATACTCAAAATTTTACTAAAAATTCAGATTAAAAAGTTCACAATTTTGATGTATTGTATTGAATATTTCCAAATTCCGTAGTATAAAGTTTGAAAGTTTGACTTGTGTGATTTTGGTCAATATACTATATGCGTACAGAAAAGTGACCATTAGCTGAGAAGGAAAATACAAAAACAAAATATTTTCACTTCTGGCTAAGTGGACATGTTGAGTAATCATTGACGATTTCTTATGTAAGTCAAGAGTAACTGGACTATAAAGCTTGAACCATATTTTTTTAAAGAAAATAACAAAAAAATTTCGACTTGAAAAACATTGCAAATATTTAGCAAAAATCATCATGCACTTACTTTTGATCGCCAGTGTATGTGCGAAATAAGTACATATGCATCTTCACGAGCATTTGTAGAAACTTATGAATTCACGTACAATCTCGACGATCCATGTACCATTAAGGTGGTCGAAAAATACACAGGAAATCCATTTTACTTTAAAATCAGCTTATATTCAATTTTGCTGGCGGGGCTTTGAAGTTTTCATTTGCGAGTATTTTAAATGAAATTGCTATAAAATCGTTAAAAAAGTTATGATGAACATTTAACTCGTAAAATTTTACTAAGAATTTTTTTTATGATCGATAAGATAAAAACAAGTGATTTTATGTGTTCGTAATCGCAACACACACGAACGGCTCGACAGATTTGTATTTTTTTTTTGTTTGTTTTTTAATAAGCGTCATAATTTTATTTTAGAAAACTTTCGAAGACAAATATTATATTTGATAAAAAAATATATAATTTGAATGATAATTTTATGGGAATTCTAAGGAAAAACTCATTTCCTTCAAATAAAATACATAGAAAACTAACTAAAAAGCTCAGGTGGCACAATTAAATGTTAAATCAATTATAATATACGGACCATCTTGATGCATATGCCCATACATACATACATAGTATACCTATAGCAAATTGCATTTAAATAAATTTCCTCAACATTGATTTTGAACCGATATTCATGCTTTATATATGTATATATCGATCAGCCGATATTTTTTGTTGGTAAAATCGATATGACCGTTATCGAAGATTTTATGACCGATATTGCACCCCTAGACATAACTAAAATAAAATTCTCCAACATTGATTTTAAACTCATATGGTATCGATATATCGATCAGCCGAGATTTTTTTGTTGCTTATATCTCCATTATCGATGATTTTATGACCGATATTGCATCCCTAGATATATGTAACTGATCTTGGTTATAAAGACAAACTTACACTTTTGAATTTGAAAAAAAAATCTCAGAATCCCACAACTCACAAAACCGACTTCCAATTGGAAAATTGTATTCGCTTGATTTTTTTTTTTAAATAACTAAAGGTGCTTAAGATTTTGTTAGTGTGTGTTAGTAACTTACGTTTGTAACTTTTTTTCACATTTGATAGTAACTTTGCAAGCTTAAGTGTTAAATAACCAAAAGAAAAGATTGAAAAAAAAATGCATCAGCAATAATGCAAAAATTAAACGCATACTAAGCAAAAAAACGCACATACATACACACATAACAATTTTACAAACATACACGCAATATACGAACGCACATCTTGCGCTAATATACACATATTTTTGTTGCTTTTGCTTGTTTTTTTTTGTGTTTACCCAACACGTACATAGATACAAGTAAATATAATACATACTTGGTTTCAAAATTAATTTAGTTGTGGCTTCGTATTTGTTTTTATTTTTTAACTTGCTTTGTTTTACTTGTATTTTGGTTTTACTTTTGCTTTTACTTTTGTTGTGATATTACAGCTAAATTCGATGCTGGTTGTTGGTTGTTCAGTTTCTTTGTTTGCTGGTGTCCTTTTATCCTTACGCCTACTACATACATAGATACATACTTATATACAGGCATATCCTTCGCACTTACATTTAATTTGTTATCAATCATGCACACATTTGTGTACAACTACATATGTACATACATACATACATACATACATACATACATACATGTGTGTCTGTTTCGACTGCTTGGCACATTCATGGCGCGCCTGCGTAGCGCTTCACATCGCCCCTCATTACATTTATAATAACATACCTCTACTTTCAGTATTCGTCTTCACATTCATTTCACTTAGCATTTAGCCTTTTCCGTTCGACTTACTGCTTTTCTTTTCACCTTGCTTGCTTCGAAAGTTTTAAAAAGTCCTTTTCCAATTTCTCGCCATTTATCTCTTCTTGGCTTAAAAACATTTTTTGAAAAAATTTAGAAAACGAAATACCCGTTCAAAAAGTGTTGTACGTCTGCCGCGTTGACGTTGGCTAGTTGTTATTCATGCTGCTGTAACGAGGTGGAAAAAAAATTTCGATTAAATTGCTTATTCGATAAAAACGCAAACCTTAATAGAGGATAGTACATAAAATAGTTTGATGACACATTATATAGTTGGAGAAATGGAGCTCAAATACACACATATAAACATTTAATAAAACCAATATATGTATAAGTACTGCATGCGTATGTGTATAACATTTAGTACTTTAGATCCCGTTGGTCTTACAAGTTGCCGCTTCACACATTTTGCTAAGGTTCAAAAGCCAATTAAGTTAAAAGCTAAGGGGTTAAAGTGTTCTAGAAAATACTGCCCGCTAAAGTTTACTACATATCTCTGAAGACAAAAACATACATATGTTTGAATTTTATTTATACGTAAAATTATATGTAAGATGATGGATTTGTGAAAAAACGTGGACCGAAAACTTCAATCCATCGTAAAAAAAAATTTAAAAGGGTTTGATTTTTCACTACCACGCATGGATATTAACGCTTGGGCATTACTTTGTTGAGACCCTAACATGGCAGCTACACAAAGTACCTACCTTAATGTTTGCTGGGATGGTTTGTTTGCGCATTAGGGTGCACCGCTATCCCTTCAAAAAAAAGCGGGACTGTGTTCCCAGCGGGATTATAATTTTTTTTTTTATATTTTAAGACCTCCGCCAAAATAATCCGGAAAAATATTAAGATTTACGTGAGCTGGATCCATTTTTTTAGTTTTTTTTTTTTAATAAATTTGAATATATATTTTTTTATCAACTCAGATGATAGACGTGTTTAAGCTTAAAAGGTCTGCACAAAACTTGTTAAAGACTTTTATTAACGGAATCAAAATAATGAGATATTTGAAGTAGAGGTGGGCGGTATCAGGAAGGTCTGTAAAAATTTTGCAGGCAGGACGGGACCAACATGCTTTTCCGCCACCCCCGATAAAATCGCAACCTCCGCAAATTCAGAAAATCTTCTTTAAAAATGTTGTATGAAATATGCACTTTTTCATGTTATATTGAGACGCAAACGAACAGCAAAGCAAAACAAAATACTAGGAAGATGCCAGATCTTTCATTTTTTTTCATTATTTTAAATTAATTTGAAGGACGTGAAATTTCTTAGTGATAGATTTCGGGACCCACGGGAACTGCGTACAATTCTAAAAAAACGTGGGAATGGGCGCGTTCGGAACTTAAAAATTTAGTTGCGGGATGGGCGGGATCGGGATCGAATATTTAGTCCCGTGCCCATCTCTAATTTGGAGGTATATTTTTTGGAAACATTTTGGCGGAGGTCTTAAAATATAATAAACTTTATATATCCGTTATAAAATCTGCAAATTTTTTTTGTGGGGCATCCTAATACATGTACATATATATGTACGCAAATGTATATGTTTGTAAGTTAAGAAAAATATTCAAATATTATGCAAAAAAATCTTAAAAGCAGATTGGCTGTGTTTTAGGAAACAGCTGATCTAGAATTAGATCTACGCGGCGGTGGTTAATGTAACGGCTGCTCTTCGTGTCACCTTGCATAAGTCTTGTCCGCCTCGTCCACCTCGTCCACCTCTTAGCCGCTCTCCAGTCCATTGATGGAATAAGGAGCTTCAGAAGTTGACGAGTTTTATTTTTTAAGCCGGACCCTCAATACAAATATTGAGATGCACTGGAAACACTACCGATGGACATAGAGGGAGTACAAGAAGCTTATTCGTTCTTCGAAAAGGGCTTTGTAATTATATTGAGTGGTGAATTTGAGTCAAATAGCTAGGATTTTCAAAGTCCTTAAAAAATACCAGACCGCTAAGCTGGGTTCACTCAAGAAGCCTGACAAGGTGACAAGGGGTCAGGCTCGCTCAGTCTTTTGGATAGTCATTTCCATCCCCTCGGCAAAAGAGTGAGAGAGTGTGAGCACCACAGTCTCAAGATAAAAATGGTTTGTTGCCAGAACTGTTGCTAGTGAAGATGCCTTAAAATATGCTATTGAACGTTTTGACAGCTTCAAATTGCCTATTAGGCGGGAAAATCTTGCGAGACGGTTCTGCAAAATCTGCCCATAAGACCATCTGTAAACTTAAAATATATGGGTGCTAGTATGATACAGTGTAGAGTAAGGCACAGGGTCAGGACCTGGAGTCTATATTGAAAGTAACGGCGACAATCTTCACTTCTCTCTTGAGGAACATATCTCGGTATTGGCAATCGTCAAGGCCATGGACTACGTTATGGAAATAGTTGGATAGGTAAGAGTTTACGTGCCTGCAATCAGTGGCAATCTGAACTCAAGCCAATCCTCTAACTACTGCCAAACTAGTTTGGTAAATCAAGTCATGACTAAAATATGTTGGAAAACATAACGAACTTTATTTACTCTGGGTGCATGATCACTCACGTGGACCTGGCAATGGTGTTTATGACCATGTGGTCAGAGAGGGCTCGAGCCAAGTATTCTTCGTTCCGAAGCCAGTTATAGAACTTAAACCTACGCCCATTGAAGTCACTGTCAAAGACTGGGTGAATAACTTCGCTCAGTAATGACAGCTTCTCATAAAAATACAATCCCCGTTCGGAGTCGGCGAAAACTGTTGGTTCCTCCTAACTAACTAACTAACACTAACATATGTATGTGTAAGCGCCAATCAATTATTATTATTAATGACTGGGAGGCTTCGAGGGTCTGCAGGTGGGCAAAACTCATGTTGCCCTCCATCTCAGAGGCTATTGCTAGATGTTGGCTTTCATTGGGCAGATGGAACTGCAGACAACTTGTGGGACAGTTGACTGGACACTTCTTGTGGCATAAACCACTGAATGTAATAGTCATACATGCCAACCCCATAATAACGTCCCGTTAAAAATATCCTTCGAGTGAACGAGTCGATCATCCAGAAACGGAATTATAATCCATAACGACAACGAGAGACAGTTAGAAATTTTCTAAAATATCATGCATGCTTTTATTAAAAAAAAAAACACACACAGCATGCAACACTACGTTCAAAGAAAATGAGTGTTTTAATCACAGAGAATCTTATGTGAAGTAGAAAGTTTTTGGTTTTGAAAATTTTGCAATTATTCACCAGAGAAGAACGTCATAACACCGTCCAAAAAAATTCAACTTTTTTGCAGTCATGAAAAAAATTTCAGGAAGTAGAGACAAATTAAAAGTACCAGTATTTTGCCGTGGCAGATGGTTTTTCCTTAATATTTAAATTTTTATGAAAATAGATATAGAAAAGTTCTTTGAAATCGATTTTCAAAAACCAATATGGCGGATGGATTTCTAATAGAATTTTGTGCAATTTGATATCCAAAAGTTCTTTGAGTCGCTGATTACAAAACTGAAATCAGTTTTCAAAATTTCAAAATCGCGAAACCAATATGGCGGATGTATTTTTTTTTTTAATTATCAGATTTTTATGAAATTGACTGAAATCGGTTTTAAAAAATTCAAAATGGCGTATGACATTTTAAAAAATTTAATATTTTTATGACGGTGTTATATGTAGGTATGACGGCCAGAAGGAGTTTCTGTGTATATACTAGGAATATGTGTATGTTTAGCAGTCTAACATTAAAAAAGGAGGCATATAATTAGGCGCAGAGACTTATGTATAAACACCTTGTAAGTTTTTTAATTAGTACAAAGAGGTACTGAAACAACATTTAGCAATTAAATAACTTTGGTCTCGTATTTTTTTTGTGGCTGCCGCTTACCAAACTTGCTATTGTTTCGAAAATGGAAGGCGCTCCTGCGCAATGAGTTGCTTTTTCTTCCTTGCTCTCTGTTGAATATATGTACATATGCGCACGCATCACCAGCAAACCAAACTATTTCATAGTGTTCAGTGCTTTTAAAGTTTTTTTTTTTAAAGTATTGCATTATTTTTGTGAAAACTTTTAGATTAATTAGGAACATTTCGGCTTGTAAGCAGTTAAATATTTTAGTGGGTCTGTACTTATTTCGTACCTAGATACATTTATACATATTTCTGTTACTGGTTTTGTTTTAAACTTCTTGTTTTTTTTACAAATTTATAATACATATTTTTGGTTTTGGATTTTCAAATTAATTTTCTTTCGCGTTTTTTCCTTTTTTGAAGTAAGCATATCGTCACAATTTGGCACATTTACAATACATAATTTTTAAAATAATTTTTATTTTTTTTTCTCTTAAATATACATACAAGCTGAAGAGTTCAATTTGTTTACCAAATCCTACCCAAAAACCCTAAACACTCAGAAAATCATGGAAGTCCCAAGCTTAGAAATCTCTACAAAGTGCAGGGAAATTCCTCTGTTATAAAGTGAAGCCTCGATATAACGAAATCGAAGGGGTTGGTTAAACGCCTCGTTGTCAAGCAGGTTTTGTAATTCACTTGCGAATGAATATCAATCAAAGTCACTTTGAATTCTGAAAACTGAGTTTTTAGTTTTGTCTCTGACGTCAGGATTTTTTAAAGGACTTTGTAGTTTTAAAAATTATGATTTATTCCAAAAGTCATCTAAAAAATTCAGTGCAATGTTGAACAACAATATGCATACCAAATTAAAAAGAAAATTTTGTACAATTAAAAAAAAAATGGAAATCACCTTTTATTTCATTTAATTTTTTTAAGCTAATAAAGTTAGAAGAACGATATCTGAAGATTTGGTCGAGTGTACTATATTGATCCTATGCTGAGTCCCTTAAGTAAGTAAGCCACCGTTGACGTCCCAGTCCAAAAAAGCAAAGCGCTAGAAATACGCAATTGTGCGTAGTTTACCATCCCCTTCTCCATGCTCCTCTATAGAGAATTTAAGAGACTGACCTAGGCAAAGCAAAATCGACTCAAAACAGAGCAATTTACCCTTTATTAAAGGAATCTTCGGAGACGGTAGTTAAATCCCATTTCCCAGGCTGTTAATAATATGCAGCCACATAAGATGTATAGGGCCTTCACTCACAGCTAACAGAGAACTAGAATCAATAATAAGCATAGAAAAGTAAAGGAGAACATAGCATAGATTTATGATTTATTTTGTTCTTAAAGCACCAGAAAGACTACTATGGGAAACGAATCCCTTTTAACCGCGCAACCCGCGTACACCAAAAGTAAATCGATGGAGGCAGCTCTCGGTGAAGTGGTGGGTTTTCTACAAAATTACTGTACTTCAAACAATATACTTTATCAGATTTTCTGGATCTGGACTTTCTGGAATGTCCATCTATCTTGTCTGAGTTCCGGGCCATAGAATCATAGAAGGCAACAAGATAGCAGACAAATTAGCCAAGGCGGAAGCTTGTTTAATTAAATCAGTAGCGGTGGTAGTGGGATACCACCTCAGCTAACTACAAACTAGCAAGGAGGCGGTGTTCAGCAAATAGGACTTTCATACAACGAAATATGCCGCAGCGCTTTCGAGAGATACATAATGAAGCAGTTAGCCGATTTATGCACACATTCATAAGCGTTTCAATGTGGTCCGCGTAAGCTGCAAAAGTGTTTGATAGGTAGCCTACGGTACTTAGAATAAAAAAGTCCATGAGAAGTGCAGTAAAATGGCGCTATTGAGCGCTAATTGAATTCTGAGTGGCAACTTCGGAGGCACTACAACCAATCAACCAACATATGTATGTGCATTAGAGTGCATCACCAACAAACAAACAAATTCCGGGCTTTCGCCGGATTTATAAAATTTATTATATTTTAACACTTGTGGCAAAAATATTTTGGAAAAAAATCAAAATCGCATTATTTTGATTCCGTTGATAAAAATGCCTCAAAATTTGTTTGCAGATCTTTTAAGCTTAGACTCCACTATCATCGGACGTAATTATTTAGAAGAAAAAAATTTAAATATATTCTTATTTTTTTATAAAAAAAGCTCGGTTTTTGGAGTTATTTTTAAAGGGTCCAGCTCGCGTAAAATCTTAATATTTTTAAGAAATATTATTGTTAAAGTCGCAAAATATAATAAATTTATTCCGCTGAAGAAACAGGCCCGTTTTTTTTTATGGGGAGTGATGCACTCTAATGTACTCACATTCGTATTAAGTCATATTTTACTTTGTGGATATTTTTCGCGTTTTGGAAAAATTAGTTTGGCTCACCCGGACTAGGCGCATTGAAAGTATTTAATACCATTATCCCTATTCATTTATAAATATGTACATACATATATATCCCGCTTCGTGTTTACAAATAACAGCCAAGATTCTGGTTTATACATATGTATATATGTGTTTACTTAAAATTATTTAGCTGTATGTGAATAATTTATGCCACAAATAGTATATGTATGTAATTACATTTACACCAATAATTTGAAATTTTCAATTGCAAAATGAATGCAAGCCGTGTTTGTGTGTATTTGGGAGTGAAAATTTCTATTTTTGTGTGTTTGTTAGTAGCTATACAACTGATAAAACCACTACATTTTACATACATAATACACATTAAAAAAAAAAATAAAAATCAAGCAAGCTTTCCATAATTTTATAGCAAATTAAATTAAAGGCTACCATTATTTACTATCAAACTTCTTAATATTATTAATTTTTTAAATGCATAAGCAATATTTTTGGTTGTAAATTGTTTTAATTTTTTTCTTTGTATTTAAGCGCTATTTAATAAAATTGTTCAATTAATTTAGTTATGTAAATACTTTTAAGTGCATGGCATTTAAGTGGATATATTGTTTATATATTTATGTTGTTGCTTTTAGTAAATTTTTTTTTTTTTGTTTTTGTTTTCTGCTTTTCTGCATTTAAATGGTGCTGCTACAATAACAATAACTAATGTGATGGGCTATCGGTAATTCGATGTTTGGCGCGTGCTTTGCTGCATGAGGCGCGGCGCAGGGAGCTAACACTGCCGCCGAAATTATCATGATCTAATGATTCCGATGAGAAAGCTACGTACGTTTTTTTTTTTTTTTTTTTTTGGAAGAAAATATACAAAACGGGAAAAGGGAAAAGTTTCATAAGCATTTGCAACTAATTTTTGGTTTTTTGATATTCATTTTCTAAATATGAAATTTTATGAATAGATACATATGTAAGTATGTACAATTAAGGGTATGCAAGTTAAAACGTTTGGTTTAAAATTCATCCAAATGATTGTGTCAGGAAAGGATAATTTTGCGAAAATTAAAATGCGCAAAGCATGCAAGATGAAACGATATAGGAGAAGTGTTGGAATGAAGGAATTGTTTTAAGGTGGTTTGTTGCCGATCATCAACTTTTTGAGAAAAAGGATTATCCAACAGCAGCTATTGCTTGCGACTTGGGGTTTTTTCAGCCCTGGGTCTGTAGCAATTAAACCTACTTTGGAGTTAGAACAAGATAGACCGCGTTTAAGGAGAGAGTAATATTTCGTCTTTAGAAAAAGTGACACATTGTGCAAATCGCCCAGGAATCGAACATTTTTGTTTTGGATGAATTTCGGCCAGCACTTACCTTTTACCACCACATAAAAAACTTCTGCAAAGGGAAAAAAAAGATTCGAAAGTGCAAAATTTTACAAAATTCCGTAATTTGCAAGTTTATTTTTTAAATGGTTTTGGTCGCGTGTTAAATATGACGTTTGGAGCTATCTAAAAAACATATTTAAATAAAAAAATTCTAGAATTTTGAAATTGAAATAATCGTAAAGCAAAAATTTATACGAAATATTGGTTCAATTTTTTTTATATAAAACCTCTAACTGTTCTTAAAAGATTCCGAAATTTTCAAGAAGTTGTTTTTTAAAAGATATGAATTTTTGAACTTTGAAACAAAAATTTTTGCAAACTCTAATGCCGGATTTCCACTAGGCATTCAATGACACTAATTTTAATGACAAAGTTAGACATTAAATTCATTTCCACGTGGCATTTTGTAAATGGTACACATTTTTTATCAATGCCTCGTGGAAATTTAGCAAAAATTAAAAACAAATTTTATAAAATGGTTTAACATAAATTTATTTAGAGTTTGCAAAAAAAAAAGTTCAAAGTTCGAAAATTGATATCTTAAAAAAAAAACACCGTAACTTCAGACTGAAGTCGAAATATAGACGAATTAAAAGCAACAAAAACAGATTGTTTTATTTCAACCCAGCCTTGAGCTCAAAAAAATAAATTTAATTAATACAATCAAAAAAGCACCGGATCTTTGAAGATCTATTGGAGGTAGATATTGTATGAAAAAAAAATTTGTGGACAAATGTTTACAAGTTTTGCTTTTAGATTTTTTTAATTAAAAATACTGTAAACTTTTTTCGAATATTTTTATACGAGCAAAACTTTTTTTGTGACTATAATAGATTTGAGATATTCAAAAAATAAGCTGGCGAAATTCCGAAAATTGTGTAATTTAAAATTTTGCAGCGCATTCGAAAAGAAGTTTCAATTTTTTCCTCGGCAGAACTTTTTCATATGATAAAAGAAGAGTTAAGACCAAAATTCATCCAAATTCCAACCATTGGGCGTACAACATGTGGAATGTTTATTTTATTTTCCAATAGTTCTTATGACGACGAAAACTGCTTGAGAAGTTTCAGTAGTTTTATTTTTGGTTCAACAAGCTGAGATATTAGTGGCACTTGGAATATACGTGGGATGCAGGAAAAGTAGTATATGTATTTGAAAATTATAAGTAAACAAAGCAGGATTTGGAGAAGTGAATTATTAGGTGCTTTACGAAAATTTTACAAGGGTGTGTATTTTATATATATGTATGTATGTATATGAGAATGTGTATAGTATATGTACATTACTAAACGAGCGAACAACAGCGGCACAGTGGTGTGTATTAGAAGCGGAAGCTGTGTAAATTGCGTGTTTGATTTTGTTAAGTTGATTGCCTCATTTGTATGTTCTCATAGCTTTTAGCCGATTTGCGTGTTGATGTTTAATTTTGTTGGTATGTACTCCTATAAGTATTCTATGTTGCTGCTGTATGTATGTGAGGCTCCGTTTTGGGCGCTTCAAAAGTGCCATAACTCTTAACTAGATGCCACTCAATACATGATGATTAGAAAACAAATACAAATTTGGCTAGATAAAAGCTTTAAAATACGAGTTCGCACGCACAGACTGGATACGAAATATCTACGGCGTTAATTTCCAACAGAACTCAACTAAGAAATGCAACGAAGTAAATAGCAAAATGACATAAGATAGTAAATGTGTGTCATGTTACTGGCTATTTCCAAAATTTCAACTCAAACAATGAAGCCGCATAGCTTACCTTTATCTGTTGGTGAGCCCAAAGTCAGACTGCTCAGGCTCGAACTTAAATTGTATGGACGTGGAGATGGTGGCACCGGCACTGCATCATCACCCGGCAGACATGTCTCTACCATAGCCTCCAAGCAGTTAACGAATAACTCAGATGATTCGCCCATCATGTTGTACTGAGGAATAGCACAACAAGTTATGATAATTATAAAAAAAAAAAAAAACAAATAAGCACACCTACCTTTGTAAAGGGTCCGGCGAAACGCCAGAGTCCACCAAAACCGCAACTTTGCAGAAAATGTAACTGCTGCTGTGAGGGGTCCTCGCTGGCCAGCATATTTTGTATGATACTTTGTACTGAATTCAAAACGACTTGATCATGTGAAACAGAGAGTATATTATTGATCTTCTGATCCAGCAGAGAATGGCTGTTCAAATGGAAAAATTATCAAAAAAAAAAAATTACATAAAATATTTTATTTTATTTTGTAAGTGGTATGCAACTTACATAACTGGAAAAACCTTGGGGAAAACCACCGAACCCTCGGCTAGGTACTGATAGAGCACGCGCGTCTCGTTCTCATCCGTTGAATATTTCACCAATGTGGCCAAAACGGTCAACACCAATGCCTGGGTGGACAAATCGGAGAGCACTTCAGGATCTAGCAGCACATTCGACTCATTTGAGACAGATGAACGCGAGCCGCGCTCCTGTGGAGTAGAAAAAATTTGTTGTTGATATTGTTAAGTATTGGATATATTGTATTTACATGAATGGATAAAAGCTAAAAATTGTTTAAAAAATTGTTGAGCTTAGAAACACTTAAGCATTAGAGGCAAGCAGTGGTGCAAACGCGCTAGTCGAGCAAATAAAAAAATAAAATAAAAGTGATACGGAAAGAACTAAACAAAAGACATACCACAACATTACACAGTTATTTCAAAATTAATCTACTTTCTTTGCTTTATTTTTTTATTAAAAATAAATAAAATAAACTAAAAGTAAAAAATATATATGTATATGGATCAATCCATGTCAAATTGACCAATGGCGAGAATCGACAATTATCGATTTGGATGAATTTTTGGTCAGAAGTTTTCTTTAATTATATAAAACAGTTCTACAAAAGGAAAAAAGAGAAACAAATTTTTTCCAAAGTTCAAAATTTCAAAAACCCCGGATTTTTTGTACATCTCAAAAACTATTATACATATTTGAGGCTATAGAAAAGATTTATATTTATAAAAATCGTTAATAAAAAAATTACAGAATTCCAAATTTAAAAAATTATAAAAGAAACTTATAGAATCTTTTAGCAAAATTATTTTTTTATACAATAGCTATAACTGATCTTAAAAGATTCGAATTTTTTGAAAACAAATTTATTTCCAACTCTGAATTAAAATTAAATATTCATTAAATTATAATTGTATATTTAGGGGTTTTCAAACAATTTTTTCTTTCAAAATTCATAGCTTTAAAAACCACCTTCTCGAAAATTTCAAGATTTTTTTAAGATCAGTAAAAAAAATCAAATTTTTTATAAGTTTTTGTTTTTACGTTTTTTTAATTTCAAAGTTCTGTAAATTATTTTTAATTTTCGATGTTTTGTATATTTTTTCTTTATAGCCCTCGGCTTCAGGGTAAATCAAATAGCCATAAGCGGGGTCTATTTGCGGAAACACTCACAAAAATTAAGCTTCGTATGCTTGATCATTGTAGCGTGCTTCAAGTGGAGCTTACATCCAAGAAGGAAGCTGAGCTATGGTCGATTGATAAAAATCCTGATCTGCGCAGTAGACGAATTTACATAAGGAGGTGGATCGCTTTCAGTCCTAAATACCTCCTACAATGCGGGATTACCGCTAGCATCTTAGAAATTTTGGAGTGTGGATAATAAGCGGTTCTCTCGTTCCTCGCTAGGCATGCCTCTGTCTTAGGTAATCTCGGGGGCTATTTCTCAATGAAATTACATGCCAGGAAAGAGTGGGATTTCCATTGAACGACTACTGTAGGCAATTGTAGGGAGAACGAGAGGGATTCAAGAACGCCGAATACTTGATATGCCATTGCCATCAACTACATGACAAAACGGTACCACAACGGACGAACGAATCCAGTGGTTGAGTTCTTTAGATCTGCATCTCGACCGTAAGTTCGTAAAGAAGCCTTGTTACGTGCCTCCTAGGCTGCTTTACTTCCAGCAAGTGTATTTTTGGATGCTACATAGCTCAGTACACTGCCTTATTCCTAGCTTATAAACTTGCCAAACTCTCGAAGCATAATTTCGAACCGGCCGGCCAAGTGCCTTATATGTTTCCAAGCATCTTTCCTTGCTTTTCCTGCCGGTGAGCGATTTAGGGACGTTGCTGCGGCGGTGGGTATGCCGTTGATATGGACGCCTAATTTCAGCTTGATCTTATTCGCCCAGGTGGTGAAAAGTCCGCAGTTGATTTCATAGGGAAAAGCGTACGGTTTCATGCAGTGAAGAAGCGGAGATGAGCAGAGAGATAACGGTTTACTTTTGAGCACAGGTCATCAATGCCTTTGCTGGACGCCAATACTGAGCAGTCGGCAGTGCATAAAATCAGTGTAACTCTCTCTCTCTCTCTGGTCTGAGGAAGCTTCGAGATGTATAAGCTAAGTAGTAGTGGGGAGAAGCTTCGAGTTCATATTTATAATAGTACGGGCGACTGTGGATCACTCAGATAACTCGCCACCCACCGTTTAAGCCTCGCTGGGAGAGAGAGGGTAATGTCGAAATCTTTCGAAAAATCGAATGATACTCGGGTAGTTTCCTCGCAGGGTCAGTTTCGGTTAAAACCACGAGTTATCTGAGACCAAACCTATATAAGTCAGGAATGACGAGGATGGCTATATTCCGATTAAGGACCTTATTGAGGTAGTCTACACTCGTTGGACGGAAATTTTTTCAGCATCAGCTTGCATATTCTGTTGGGACCAATAGATTTGGAGGCTTTTGCCTTACCGATGCGCACCTGGGCCTGGCATTTTAGTGTGAAAACGAAAGTGGAAAACAACTAAGGCAGAAATTGCATTTGACTAATTTTATATTCTGTTCTGGCACACGAAGCTGACAGTGCGAGAAGCCAAGATCGGGGTGAGTTCTATAGAGCCGGGGGTGAGTTCTTGGATGCATGCTTGTATCGTCGGTAGCGAGAGCTGTAGGCGGTGGGAACAGGTGGTGCTGTATGGCTGGAAAACGTGGGCCACTTCCTATGTGCTTTAAGGGCAGAAAAGGTACTTAGGTGGCTCCATCCTTTGCAAGAGTTACACCTAACTGAAATGAAGTTCGGTTTGAGCCAGCGTTGGCGTGCGCAGTTAGTTAAGCGTTAAAAATTTCATTGACTAAGTAACTCTTCAATCAAATAAATTTAAATTTTTAAAAACCTTTCTAATTTGAAATTAAATATGTATTTGTTAAAGTCAAACTGATTTCAATAAAATTTCTCAAACATTTAAATACAATTATTGTGGGTGCAAAATATATTTTTAATACCGAATTTCCACTCAGAATTGAAATAACACAAAGTCGAATGACAAAGTTGAGAAAAAAACTTTTCTATGAAGGCCGACCAGGAATCGAACCTGGGGTGTCCACTTAAGATACATTTTGTGTCATTGCAATGCCTAGCGAAAATTCGACATGAGTGCTTATGTTGTTGGAAAAAATCAAACATCTTTTTAGAAATTTGTATCAATCGCTTGTGTGCTTTGGTGTAAAACATCTTTAAAAGTGTCAAGTGCTGTGCAGAGAGTGCAATTAGCTTTCACACAAACATACAACAACATTTCTAAAACACACAAACAGATAAGAAAATAAAAAAAAAGTTAGATTAAACTAAAAAAAAAAAAGCTAGAAGAGCAGGTCTTCGAAAACGCTATGTAAAATAGTAGCATTAGAACTAGTAGTAAGAAGTAGCAGTAGAAAAAAAGAAGAAGAAAAGTCAATAGACAATAGACAATACCTGACGTTCTTCGATAGCGCTCGAATTATTCGGTTCTTTGGTGGTCGGCACCGAAAATGAGCGTTGTGTTTTAAATAAAACCTTCGCGCCCTTCAATTTGAATTCGATTTTTGTTTTATTTTTGTTTTTGTGTGTTTTTTTTTATGCATTAAATATTGCAATATCGAAGTATTTATCCATACATA